TGAGACACAGAAAGCCTCCAGTTATACGTGTCCAAAACCAGTCATCTTCTTCCAAAACCTGTTATTCCATCAGTTGTACCTACTTATGTGAATGACATCATCCACTTAATCTAGAAAGGACAACCATCTTTGTCTCCTACTCCTCCTCATTCCTGAATCCAGTTGATTGTACCATTCTGTCCATTTGCCCCCTGAGGTGTCTCATATTTGCTTCCTTTTTTATCACTAGTTCAAACCCTCATCACCTGTAACTTAGAATATTGTCACAGCCTCCTAGCTAGTACTTCTGCACCAATTAATCTTTTGATATAAACACAAAAGGATTTTCTCCAAACAATATTAATAATTAACGATTAATAATTAATTTAATTAATTAATCTATTAATAATATTATTTATACTTAGCTTTAGGAACTTCCCTGGTGGCTTAGTGGTAAAGAATTAGCCTGCAATGCAGGAGATGTGGGTCAGGAAGATCCCCTGGAGTAGGAAATGGCAACCCACTCCAGTATTCTTGCCTGGAAAGTCCCATGGACAGAGGAGACTGACCGGCTACAGTCCATGGGGACAGAAGGAGTTGGACATGACCGAGCAACTAAGCACCCACACAGACACATAGTACCTGGTATATCATAAGCGTTCAATTATAATGTTTAATTGAGTGTTCATTATATGCCAGGCATTATACTAAATGCTTCTTACTTCTTTTAATCTGCACAGCCACATGACAAGATAGGAATGATTCATTATTCATAGTAAGAATTGTTATTATTTAAAATTTAAAGATGAAAAAGAGGCTTGGGGAGGTTAAACAACTCACCTAAGGTCACAGAACTAGCCCCAAAGTGACAACAGCAAGATTCTACGTCTATCTGGCTTTTAAAAAAAGATCCCTGATTTTGCTTTTTTTTTTCATTTTAATTTTTTGGATACAACTTTCTCATATGGTCTCTAACCTAATCGTTACCTCCTTCAGTCTTTGCATCTGTGCTACTTGCCTTTTCCTTCCCCCTCCATTCTTCCAGTCCGTAGGTTCTTCTTTTGGTTTCACTTATTTCCATATTTAGTAAAGATTTATTATCAGCTCTTTCAAGGAAGTCCTTCACAGCAGGCTCCCCTGTTTCACTGCGCCCACCACATCCGACACAGCCCTCCTCACGCTCTCTTCGCAGCTGCTAAGAAAAGGCGTGGAGGAAAAGAATTGTGTTGGGGGGCCTGAGGCGAAGGGTGGGAGGGGGAGGACGAAAGGTGCTGGGACCCCCAACCTCCGGAAGTGCGAATACAAAAAACTCCTTCCATTTTTTAGTTTTCCTCCGAGTATCTGTGTTGCTTTCTGAGTCTAATAAAATGAACTAAGTCAGTAAAAAGTGCTTTGTAAATTGTAAAGTGCTGTTCCATCGGAATGGGCAATTATTCACTCTCCCTTTGCATGCCCAGGGCTTCAACTGAGTGAGCCACACAATAGGTGTTCCAAGCAGTGGATGCCACTGTGTGTTCGGGTGAAAGGAGTAACGCTTTAATATGGACTTGGCCCGAGGAAATCTCTGCTTGTCATAACTGCCAAAACCCAGCTCAAAACTTCATCAGAGTTGCCACGTGCGAATAAGACAGGAAGAAAAAGCTATTAGCCTGAAAACTCCCTGTTTAAAAGCCTCTCTCGGAGTGTTTCACACCTCCAGCTCCCAGGAAGTTTTAAGTTCTTGCAAATGACCTCCCTTTACCTTCCTAGCGTCCGGGCCCCAACCCTTCCCTCCCGGGCCTCTCGGCTTCCTCGCCGACCCAGCCCTCGGACCCTCGCCCCGAGGGCGGAGACTACAAGTCCCGGCGTGCCCCGCGCGCCCGGCCGGGTGCACTGGGGCTGGGCGCGTGGCGGCCGGCGAGCTCTGCACCGGGGAAAGCCTCCCGGCGCTGGCCATGCGGGGAGGTAAGTGATCGCTCGTGCTCCGAGGGCACTGGGAACGCGCTTGTCCTACCCACCCCCTGTCCAGGATGGAAGGAAACGAAGAAAGCCACGAGAAAAACTGCCCTGCCCTCCCTCGTCTCTGCTGTGCGTCCGGTGCTCCTGAGATTGTTGTGCCCCCGAGTGTGTTATCTGTCACCCCGGAGTGGAAGTGGGGGCAGAAGCGTGCCCGGCCCCGTGGAGCGCTGCGGCTCCCCGGGGGTTACAGGGCGGAGCTAGCAGGAGGGGACCAGGAGATGGCAAGGCTCGGCTGGGCGCTTACCGAGCGCCACACCTCCCTACTCCCCTTCCAAAGATGAGTTCCCCGGGGGAGCCCCCAGTTCCTAAGACAAACGATTTCTTCTGAAAATCTTAGCCAGAAACTTTCCCCTCTATCACCAGTGCCACAAGCGAGTCGTTTGGCTATCGGACGTGACCGCTGATTAAAGAGTCTCTCTGGCATCCCCTCTCCTGCCCTACGTTCTGCCCCCAGCGCCCCCTCTCCAGGCCCTCCTCAGTTTTCCCTAGAGACCCTCTAGGGCCCTGCTGAGCTCGGCCCTGCCCTTCGGCGACTTCTTGAGATGACTTCTGCAGCGCTGTGTACCCAGGTCTGCGCTTGGAGATTCTGTCTGGAGCCTCCTGCGGGCGGATACCTGGAGGCAAGGCAGGGCGGACGGTTCCCCGGGAGGGTGCTTGCTCACTGGGGGATGAGAGATCAATAAAAGAAGCCTATTGAGGCACCAGTTTCCCATCCTTCCTGACCCATCTCCTTTCCTATCTGAGCCCATTTCCAAGTGTCCCCGAAAGTACTGCTCCAGAATCTCAGCTCAAGGACCTCTGAAGTTACTTTAGCACATCCCATGATAGCCTGGATCAGAGGGTCTTGTTGGTTTGTATCTCTCTCTCACTTCTCTTACAGACACAAACACAATGCATACTGCACATTGTGCAAACACACGAATACCACGACACTACGCACAAACACACACATATACCACAGGTACAACACCCACACATATTACACAGCATACACTCATCACACATACTACGTTTATGCTATGCCCTCACACATACCAGGAACCACACTACACACAAATACACTTAATTTTTATTAGCAGAGAAGAGGGTTAATATCATTTTGTTGGAGGGAGTGAGGAGGAAGTGGTTGAGTACTAGTATAGATGCTTATACCCACAAATGTCAGTTTACTCCAAAATTAGAAATTAGCTGATGAATGAAACCTCCTGTAGTCAGGATATGTGGCTCATTTTTTATAAAATGGGATTGATTTTTCACAACACCTTCTGAAACCCACACCCTTGTCTAACAGGCAAATTTTGATCACAACAGGCAAGACAGTAAGGGATGCCCTCTTCTATACATAGGAAGAAATTCTTGGAGAAACAGAATCCTTTCTCCTGTGAGGGTGTCTGAGAGTCAGTGTAACTACACTTTGCCTCCCTTCTTTCAAGAGTGGTGGGCTGAACCTAATATTGATCTAAGCAGTGCCATGACAGTGCTGTCAGGGTAGTCTCTTCTCTATCCCTTGCCCCCAGGACTCACAGCCCAGACCCCTTCCATTTGAATTTAGTTGGAAAACAGTTTAGACACCTCAGATCAAGTTCAAAAGCATTATGGAATCTGTTGGTGAAAGAGTCCTCTGTCTACAGAAGAGTTCATCATTTTGATCATTGGTGATAAAACAAACCAAGAAGAAAACCACTTGTTTGAGCTGTACTCAAAAAATAGTACTCAAAAATAAAAGAATATTTAGAAGTCTTCCCTAAGTTATTATCATTTGCTCTTTCAAGGGGGCAATGGCAAAGATGGGCAGAGAGAACATTTGAAATTTTTCTCAGTGATAATCTTTCAAGAAGTTGAAAATTTCTAATACCATTCCTGCAATAAGTAAAGGGAAGAAAATTGACTTTGAAATTCAGATTGCAAATTTAGATCATAGTTGCTGATTTTCTAGTACCCTTAAAAATTGCTAAAGAAAAGAGAGACCAGTAGCTTTCTCCTCAATTCTGCCCAGTCTATACAGTATTACAGCAGGAGATGACTTTTTCTAGGATCCTTCTGCCATACCTTGAGAGGTTTTGTTGACATCTTGACCTAAAAGTGTGCAAGTATTGATTGTTTATTTCAATGACAATCATTTATGTTGCTAGTTATATACAGTATGTTTGTGGAATGGGAATGTTTCCCTTGAACAGTAGTTCCCAGTCAAGCAAGAGAGCTGTGAGATTGATCAGGGTAACTTAATCAAAAGATCATGCCTGGCCTTTATTCTACCTTCCCCTTTCCCGAACTGGGACTTAGGAAGGTGGAAGATACTATGAATTTGAGGGTTGGCACAAATCTTCTTTTTCATATGTAATTAATATAGTAGCAGGTGCTCATAGAAAAGAAATGTTGAATTTGTTGAATTACACTTTTTACGCAACTGGGGAGATCTGGTAAAATGAAACCTCCCAGACTAATTGTTTTTGTTTCGTAGAATAAAGTTTGTTTTATTTTGAGTTTTTGGCTGACTTCATCTGGTAGGATGAATGCCAAAATTAAAGAATGTGGGCGTTCTCAGGCGATCTGGTCATCTCCTTTGCATCCTCTCTGAAATATGTTACTTCCTGCATAATGAAGTAAAAGGATTTTCTGCTGGGCAGTGCTTTCCTTATTCTCACAAAGAGCTTGAAAGCCAGCCCTGGGAACTTTGTCAGCAAAAGAGTAACACAGGACTGCAGCTTCTGGGTGTTCACTGAACATAGCCCCTGAGCACTGGACTTTCTCTTATTTTTTTCTCCCATAGGGAAGAAAAAACAAATAGTTTGATACATGGCATTCCTGCTCAGAACAGCAAAGACATAGGATGCAGAAACAAGGAAGGGGAGGGAGAAAATAATAGCCTCTTGATACCGTTTGTTTTCCTTTGATCAAGACAGGTGCAGGGAGAATTCTGCAGCTTGGGGACTCGTGGTTCATTCACTTCCACTAATTGTGCTGAAGGTAGTTAGCAAAAGTGAAGAGGCACACTGTAGCTTTAAAAAGTCAGCCATGAACCAGAAGGCAGTTGGTGCAGCTTGTGTGTGATTCCTAACGTCATGTTGGCTGAGAGCCAGCCTGGTTTTATTTCACTGTGTCAAATTGTACCTCCTTATTGAATGCCTTTGCCAGCCTACTTTGTGAAAGAAAACATTGGGGTTTCTTTGGCTGTTCTTGATAAGCCTATAAAAAATGATATGTTTTAGTTGCTTCTAGGTAGGTTTTCTTTTTACTCTTCCACAAGAAAAGAAAATAATAATAATAAGACAATGTAGTGTGGTGTTGCAGAGTATCATTGTGAGTGTTGTGTTTTGTTTTGTTTCTGAGATGCTTAGAAAATGGTGAATGTGTAACAGTTTCCAACTGAAGTGAAATCATTCTTTTGGCATGGAGCAAGCAGCACTATCTTCTGTCTACTCTGTAACGGTGTGTGGATGTATGTTAATATCTAGATGTATATTAAATGTTGGATTTCTCTATGAATGATCTAAGTGGTGTAGTGACTGGAAGTTTGTGTGTGTGCGTATGTGTGTGTGTGTATCAGCAGTGAAGATTATCCCACACTTACAGTATTATTTGTTAATCATCTACTTCTGTAACAGTGATAAAATCTTGTGAATATACTAAATGATGCACTTGTCATGTCAGAATAATCCCTAGGGAAGAAGTGCCGAAGTATAAAGTGATTTGAGAGGAAATGTATTTAATTTATGGCTTCAGCTGTAGAAGAACAAGCACGTTTCAGAACTAGTTTTTTTTTTTTTTTCCAGCAGTTTTGTTCGTAGCTTTTTTCATCTTGCTAATTGCATATTAATTGTAGAGGGATTTTATTTTTTCTGTGTTCTTCCTACTAAACAAAAAGACAAAGTGATAGATGCTACTATATCTCCTTGAATGTTTTGATGATTTTTACATAAATCTAATGAGCTGCCTACCCTCTCTTACACACACACACGCACACACACACACACACACGCACCCCAGCAGCACCTTTCTGTGTGAAGGACTATCTGACATTTTCATGAGCTTCCAGCTTTACCAGACCATGGCCAGCTCACAGACAGGTTTTTAAGATTTTCATTGAGAATATATGAGGTAGGGGAATACTTGCTGACAAAAGCTTTAAGTGATCTTTTGCATCGCAGTGAAAAAATAGAGGAGAAGTGGGAGTGGACAGAAAAAAAAACCAACAACAACACACAAATATAGTAAGAAAAAAAGAAATCACAGCCCCCGAGGTGGAAAGGGGAGGAAAAGGGGGATTGTTTTTGTCGACTTTGACTCATTTATGAGTTTCAGTGTCTTAAGTGAGAGCTTGGCATTGGGAGAAGCTGTGCCAGTTCACACAGCACTTGTTTTGAACAAGGATTCAATTTCATTTGCAAATGCTTATTGTCGAAGCAGGGAGTGCCAGCACAGATGAAAGCACCCCAGTCTGTCTCCTCCAATTCTTTAGGTTTAATCACATCTCTCCAATCGCTGAGGGAACTGGAGATTTAAGCAAACATATACGTGAATTGGTGTGAGGCTGTAAAAGGGACCATTATGTTTCCGATTCAGAATATATATTCTTCTCTCACTTTCAAAGAATTAAACACGAGCTTTTCTCCCTTATTGATTAGTTGCTGAAGTAAAGGAACCCTGCAGCCTCCCCATGCTATCTGTTGACATGGAAAACAAGGAAAATGGCTCTGTCGGTGTAAAAAAGTAAGTGAAACTGGCTTGTGAGTTCTGCTTCTGCAAACAACAGAGGGACTTGGGTTCTATTTTTGTACTTCTTGCTTATCTACTACAATACACTGTTGGGGGTTGTCTTGGGTGATTGGTCTACACTGGTGATCAGCTTCCCCTCTACCCCCAGCCCCAATTGCCTTTTTCTGTATTCCATTTCTAAGAGATGACTCAGACATCAAAGTGCATAAAGGGTTAGTGTATCAGGCTTTAAAACAGGGAAGGTTGCAGATTCCAGCCCTGAATTCTGTATATTAAACAAAAACACAGAACAAACAGAGACTCTGCCTCCCAAGTCCATAGTGAGGAGGGTGTGGGGAGGGGTGCAGGGTGTGTGTGTGAGGGGGAAAAGAAAAGAGAGATTGAATCTTTTTTCAATAAAACCACCCATCTCAAAAATGAAAGCTATAGGAAGGGAAGGAAAAAACTGTCAGTAAGAATACTAAGTTTAACAGTTTCTCTGTCCTCACTTTATGAACTGTTCCTTGAATGTGAAACATTTCTGCATATACCAAAGTCTCTTTTTCCCTCTGTTCTTACAGTTGAAACTTCTGATTATATTTATTATGAGTTATATGCTTGATACTTTTAAATAGGAAAATTTAGTTGCATTATGTAGTGTATTCTGAAACATGCTATGTATTTCAGGAATAAAATATCTGTAAGTATATGAAAAAAATGTTTATTCTAGGAGTTATATTTTGGCTCTAAACACATTGCTTACAAGGAAGAAGTATGCTCCAAGACAGTGTTGTCTGTTTCATTTTTCCCCTGTCATTTTAGCTTAAAATTTCCTTCAACTTGAGCTTTGCAAGAAGCTAATGTAATCTGTAGAAGCTGTGATAACTAAATGAAAAAATAGTATGCTATATATGTTTATGAATAGAAGGTGCCTTTTATATTAAAGTTACATTAAACTTAATAAAAATCTGCTTTAAAAAATTCTCCTATAATTTATATATCAATGCCATGCTTCCATGCTTGTTCCCATGTTTGAAGCTTGGGGAAGTTAGATGGAGGAGGAATGAAAGAAATAGATGCTTTTTTTAATGTGTCAGTTAGACCAACTGCTTCCAATAGTACCCTGAGCAGTGATGAAAATGTCCTACACAGGTACTATCCACCATGGTAGCCACGAGCTGCATGTGGCAATTAAAAACTTGAAATGTGACTAATGTAACTGATGAACTGAACTTTTAATTTTATTCAATTTAAATCAATTTTAAAAGTTAACAGCTTCATTGAAATATGATTGCCATATAATAAACTGCATGTGTTTAAGTATAAAATCTGATAAGCTCTGACATTTGTATACACCCATGAAACCATTACCAAAATTAAGATAACAAACATATCCATCATCCCCACAGGTTCCTCATAAACCTTTATAATCTCTCCTTCCTGCCCTTCTCTGCCCTCATATTCCCCAGGCAACACTGATAGGTTCTCACCGAAGATTAGTTTATTTTTCCTAGATTTTTATATAAATGGAATTATTCAAAATGTACTTTTTTAGGGGGAGGGAAGGGGTCTGGTTTCTTTCTCCCAGAATAATTAATTTAGGATTCATTTGTGTTATAATATATATCAATAGTTCATTGATTTTTATTACTAAGCAATGTTTTACTGTATGGATATACAATACTTTGTTCATTGTTTGTCCACCCAGTTGTTCATAGGCATTTAGGTTGTTCCCATTTATTAGGGATTACAACTAAACTGCCTTGGTCACTTGTGTACAGGTGTGTGTGTGTGAACATGTACATTTTTCTTGGATAAGTATCTAGGAGTGAAGTGACTGGGCCATGTGGTAGGTGTATGCTAAGCTCTGTAAGAAATTGCCAAACTATTTTCCGAACTAGTTGTGCCATTTTACATTCCCACCAGCGGTGCGTGAGCACTCCAATTGTTCTGTGTCCTCAGGAATTTGGTGTGATCAGTCTTCTTCATTCCATTAGGTGTATTTTGCTTTGCTTTTTAATCTGAAGATTGCTTTGTATAGTACAACCATTTTAACAACATTAATTCTTCCAATCCAAGAGCATGGTATATCTTTCCATTACTTTGAATCGTTTTCAATTTCCTTTATCAATGTTTTACAGCTCTCTTCTTGGTTATTAGGTATGGTTTTAATTTTCATTTCTGTAATGACCAAGGATGTTGAGGTTTTTTTTTTGTGCTTGTTTTATCTATAGATCTTCTTAAGTATTGTTCAGATCTTTTGCCCATCTTTTTATTGGGCTTGTTTTTTAATATGTTATTGTGTAGAACTTTTACATATTCAGGATACAAGTCCTTTGTTATATACATGATTTAAAAATATTTTCTTGTTGTATGTAATTTGTTTTTTCATTCTCTCTACAGTGCCTTTCAAAGTGCAGAAGTTTTAAATTTTGATGAAGTCCAGTTTATAAATTTTTTATTTTATGGATAGTGCTTTTAGTGTCACTTATCTAAGGAATATTTGCCTTGCTCAAGGTCACAAAGATTTTCTCTTATGTTTTCTTAGATTTGGGACTATAATTTTTGAGTTAATTTTTGTATATGGTGTGGAATAAGGATTAAAATCTTACTGTTGATAGTGGTTTCAGTGGTTGGTTTTTTTGCCTTTGGATATCCAATTGTTCCAGCACCATTTATTGAACTATCTCTGCAACTTTGTTGAAAAAATAACTGATCCTATATCAATAGATCTAGTTCTGGACTCTATTGTATTCTGTTGATATTTTGTATATATTTATGCCAATACAGCACTGTTTGGATACCTTTATGATAAATCTTGAAATCAGGTAGTATTATCCATTCAACTTTGATCTTTTTGGAACTTGTTTTGGCACTCTTAGGTCCTTTGCTTTTCCATATAAATCAGCTTGTAAATTTATACCAAAAAAATGCCTGCTGGTCATTTGACTGGCATTGCATAGAATTATAGATCAATTTAAGGAGAATCGACATCTTAACAGTATTGTGTCTTCCAACTCATTAACACAGCATTTCGATCCATTACTTCAGTTCAGTTCAGTTCAGTTGCTCAGTCGTGTCCAACTCTTTGCAACCCCATGAATCGCAGCACGCCAGGCCTCCCTGTCCATCACCAACTCCCAGAGTTTACTCAAACTCATGCCCTTTGAGTCGGTGATGCCATCCAGCCATCTCATCCTCTGTCGTCCCCTTCTCCTCCTGCCCCCAATCCCTCCCAGCATCAGGGTCTTTTCCAATGAGTCAACTCTTCGCATGAGGTGGCCAAAGTATTGGAGTTTCAGCTTCA